TACATATATAAATATATGTAGTTGGGGGTCAGTTTCACCGTCGCTTTTCTATATAGATAATTCAGGTACTACTCGATCCAGAGAGGATTGATCAATAAATTTCCACTACCTACCTAGCAGTCCTGAAAGTCAGGAGAGTATTTGAATGTTTTATGTTGGTTTTCCCACTAATATTAGGACCTACATATACATGTACCATATTTTAAATTTATTCAATTTGGTACAATTTGAATCATATATCGATAATAAATATTAAATTGAATACTAAGAAATTTGAGATATATATTTCACAAAATTTTACTAGAATATTTCTGGACATACGTTTCGACTGCTAAGTCATTATCCAAAAGAAAATTGAGAAAAATGTTTTACAGTGACTACACCACAGTCAGTATCAATTATTACAAATCGTATAGTTATTTGTTAATAATGAAAAAACAAAAAATTATATCGTGATTTCAAAGTTTAAAACATAGTAAATAACTCATTGGATTCTGATCATATCTGACATTAAATAATACCAAATCAATCAAAAGACAATGTTTTCTTTGATGTTTAATTGATAAATTAATTATTCAGTATAAATTTCTTTTCCTCATATTAGCAGTGTGTACCGGTGTGAATTGATGAGCTTTCCGCTTGATTCTTTCCTTTTGGTCAAGTATTTTGTTAATGTAATAACTTATAGTTGAATATTATATCTTTGTGTGGCTCGGTCTAATAGATTTCCATTAAATAGAACTTTTTGGACTTTAATCTTTGTATATGTCCGTTGGAGTCCCATTAATACATCAAAAGTAACATAATTTTGATAGATTTTTCTAAAGCTTATTTAGATAGTTGAACACCCTTTTAGGGAGAATTATTCAATTTAGCAGCAGTGGAGGAGTCGGTTTTAGAAACACAAATGTACAATTGTAATTAAGACATGGTTTTAATTATTCTTTTGATTTATTAAAACAGTAGATAGAGTTAACTTTCGTGGAGCGTAGCAGTACCTTGTCTATTAGATAGGATCGACTGACGCGGCGCCTACCCCCTGCTGGTACGTACCAACTTACCTACCAGAGTTGGTTGCACTGTTTCTCGTCTTCTTTTGATCAACGACAATCCATACATAACATTTTTCCGAGCCAACAACTAATAAAACCTTCATCCAAATTAATTCATGTTGAATAAAATTTTTTTCTTGAACTTTGAAAGATCTTTACGAGATAATTTCATAATTCAATACAACGTTTTTCCAGAATATTTTCTTTTTAAATACAAAATGGGGAAACCAAATTTTCCTTTTGCACTTGACCCGCAGAAAATCTTGGATTTTATTAATTTTACTAATGGATTTATCGAGATAGATAGATACTATTTTCTAATTATTTAACCATAAAGAATTTTTCTGTCAAAAGCCACCAAACATTACCAACCAGAATCCTATTGAAGCGTCCCTCTGCTCCTAATTAAAACAAACGCTAACTTTCTGAAACTTTTCGGCGATTTTTCAATTTCCCGATTCCACACACAATTCTGTAGCTTCTACCTAGACACCTGTCTACATACATGTATATAGCTTAATGAGATAAAACGCTTTTATATAAAGATTATTAAAGCGGCAACAACAAGTATTGATGTGATGTTCTCTTTACGTTCGCCGCCTTCTTTACGCCCTGGCGATGCGATAAATAAATCGCTCGTTCGTGCTAGATCGCAATGAATTAAACCGTCGGCGTTTCTTTTACAACAATGTGCAAACTGCATAATAAGGCCTACATAAGGACGCATATGAACGGATACTTTACACGTTACGTACAGGTATGTGCAGCTAGGACATTCCTATCATGTTCCAATGGGCAAATACAGGATAAAGGTACCGTCTTAACTTAATTCGTAGGTACTGGGGGTAACATATTGCAGTTATCATACAACTGTAAGTAAGAGAAATATCGTTAACTATATGGATCTGTCGTTGCATGGGGGTAGGAGAGGGTCTGAAGCATATACGGGAGGGTTGATGCTTTTATATTTTTGGAAGAAGGGGATGCATTAGATCAATGCCTAGGACCTCTGTGTATGTATGCAATAGTCGGACTGAAGATGACCTTGTGGGAGGGAGGCAAAAAGTTTATAAATGGTTAAAATGGAGTTATGTAGTTCATAAACAGGCCCTAATCATTATCTTAAAGATCCAGGAAAATTAATAAACTCATGTAGGGAATTTAGAACAAAGCTGGTATTATTGGGTTTTTTCTTCTCCAGGAGCCGGAAAATTATAATTTACAAGTCAAATTAGGTGATCCTTTTTGGATAAAAATATTGTTTTCTTAGAAATTCTATTTATCTTTTACCTTTTCCAGGAAAAAACTACTCATATATACAAAAGCTTTAAGGAGACTGTTATGTAAGATTTTGCCTTGCACAGTTGTGCCACTTCTATTCTACTTTCGAGATGTTTTTTTTGTAAGAAAAACACTTCGTAGAATTTAAATTAATATTTTAATATAAAATATATATACAGCTTAGAATTAGGGTGATAATGACGAAATGTTGATGATGGTTACTACAAAGATGATGACTATGATTCCTAAACTATGATTTCTAATTATTCGAGAACTGATAACTAAGACGACTAAAGACTGACTGATACAAATTACTTAAAATTATCTTACTGCTATGGTACAAAATTAAATGACACCGGAGGGGTGCGGATGGCATAACAGCGGGTAACAACATAATTGGGGTTGTTCAACTTCCCTTGGTCGGACAACTACGTGACCAAACAATGGTTTACAAAATGTTGTAGGTACCCAAATAAATAAATAAATTTTACAACCGAAACAAATTCCTTTCCAAAATATTTCAAAGTAATACTCATAACAAAGACTCTTAACAGAGACAAAAAGGAAGTTTATATTTATTATGCAAACGGGTATGCAAGTGTTAGTTTAAGGGGAAATAAACTATTTAAAGGGGGAAGAGTGTTTGTAATTCTCCTCACACCTCTGAGCTTCAACCAAACTATTACATTTGGCTCAATTTGAAATTTTCGTAAAACCGTCACTATTACGTATACAGTGGAATACATAGATTAAATGTATTAAGCCTTTTAATTCCTGTTTGGAAAATATTTTCTAAATGACAAGCAAAAGCTAAGATCCTTAGAACAGTTTTTTATTTATATGTTGGGTTCCTATTCTTTTACGTTTCTGTTTTAGTGAAAATTCACGGTGAAACTAATTACTTAGTTCGAATACATTTTCAGAATTAATTTCTTATTCTAACAACTAACAGCGTACACCAGAACTGGAAAAGCATGTTGACAAATTATATTCATTCGTAACATTCAACAACAAACAAGTAAATGAGTCACTTATACATAGGTGTCGTACTCGTTAAACTTTACCTACACATATGTATGTAGCTATTCTCAAAATTAATTGTTGGTTTTTCTTTTCGCAATTTATTTTGGTGTTCGTTGAAAACGGCGACAGAAAAAAAGGACTAACCGTCGCGAAAATTCTAAGACGATTGCTACATAGGTCAGAATGTTAAGAATTGTCGTTTTTAAGTCCAAAGAAATTAGTATATCTTGAAGAAATTTAGGTTTTTCTGGATATTTAGAATTAAAGCTGCAACTTACGAAGGATTCTTCAAAATCCCAGTAGAGCCCAAGGATTGGCCGCATGAAAAAAGGCTAGTTCGTTAGCAGATATTTTTGTATCATTTTCAAAAATATAAGCACATGAGAAATTGCGATTCTTGGTACTCAAAAGGTTCAGTCAATCTAAATATTTAAGTAATTATAATTGTCCTTTTGTATACAAGAGTTATATCTGCCTTTAGTTTGTGTGAAAACGTTTAAGGAGGATACCGTGGATAGAGAAGGTTAGAAATAAGAAGGTATTAGAAAGAATAATAGGACAGAGGACTCTATGAAAGTCAGTAAGAAATCGGCGAAATAGGTTGGTAGGACACCTCAGGTATTAAGGACTAGTTAGAGACATATTGGCAGCAGAAACAAGAGTTAAAAGGAGTAGAGGTAGACCTAGATTAGATTATTGCTAGCAAATAGTTAAGGATGAGGGATGATCTACTTTTAGAGATTTTAAGATTATGTTAGGATACGAAAGAGTGAAGGTGCATGTCCAACCAGTCATAGGACTGACGACCTTATGATGGTGTTAAGGAATATACAAAAACCTACTGATAGTCAGTCTTCCCATATTTTACATCTTCCTTCGGTTTTAACTATCCCAACTGTTTTTCTTTAAATATGTGTCCTGACTAGAAATAAAACGTAACAAAAAATTGCTTCTTTGTCATATGAGTAGGTATTAAAAACATAACAAAGGAAGCGTAAGGTAATTGACTTACAGCAAATAAAGAGACATAAATGAATCAAAAACCTTTGCCAGTAAAATTTGTTAAGTATTTAATTCAGTATCGTATTTTTTTCGGTGTGCGAAGAAGTAGGCAATAAAAATCGCAATTTTATCTCTTAATTTTCTGCTTATTTTGACGTTATGAGTCGCATTTACATATGCTTTGCGTTATAAGATAATGAGCGGAAATTAATAGGCGTTATTCGTTTAATTTGTAGCTAATGAGAAAACATCAGCAGTTAGATACCCTCATTTAATTAACGAGATCGGGAAACTGATAAAGCATGAAAAACAAGTTCTTTCGAACTAAATTTGGGATTGTATTATTAGGTACACAGTTGTTGGAAGATGTGTGGCGCATCTTAACTGCGACTCCAATACTTAAATTTAAATTTTACATTTCTGCCTGTTGCATAACTGGAACAGCAGAAGTACCTACCTACGTTTAATTAGGGAGTCACTTTTTCAAAAACAACTCAGTCAGAAAAACCAAATAATTTATTTGTAACGTAAGAAAACGCAGCTGCCTTTAACACCCGTCGGAAATGTGTGTTTGTTTGTACCTCAATTGTTCGTACGGTAATCAAGCTATTCAACGTTAAAACATTAAAAATGAAATATCGATTACTGAAACTTTATTTTATTGAAAACATCATTATATGTATACAAAACATTCGTATTTTAAATATCGTGAACATCACTCCTCGTTCGTAGTAATTATTATTAGACAATATTTATTACAAAATCGACTTACGATTATAGTAATTTTATTATACACTTTATACAATTTTATTCATCACAGTCTTTTACGGCCTTTTGGTCGATCAATTGATATAACAATTTTTATATCACACAGTAGACAATAAGAACTGAATCGAATTCTTTTCTAACGTAAATCAACACCCGCCTACATCCAAGAAATCCATAACATTTGGATAAATATCCAATGTTTCCCATAAGTTTAGAATTCGTTAAAATTAATTGCTTGTAAAATCAAAGTATAAATAGAAACAAACAGGTTTGAGATTCATTTTTCATAGTCACATGGTGTGAAATACCTACGTTCATCCAAGCTTTCTAAAATATGAAAATGAAATGTATTTTCATGACAATTACTGTTTTAGAAAAGGATTTTATTCATTTTTATAAGTACGTTTACGTGGTAGCAGTCAAAGAAAAAAAGACGATTGACTTACATTTCTCATTAACCCAACAAAAAACATGCACATTATGCACCCAAGTATTTAAAAGCACAGCAGGACACAATGTTTAGAGTTTATCGAAACACCTCGAGTTCGTCAACATCTCTCTAGTTAGCCTCCAGACTTGTTTCGCTGCGTTCTCGAGAGCCGTCGGCGATTTTCCTTTGAACAGGTCGACGTTGGGCAGAAAATAATGAGGGCACCTTTTGCATTGCAAGCACGATATGAGCTGCAAGAAAATGCCATTTATCCTGTCCGCTATGCACGACTCGTCCCACTCAGTTTCTCTCGGATGTTTCTCGCATTCGTAGAGTAGCAACGTTTTCATGTGATAACCGGATACAGGGTTGCCGGGTAGATCGAGGTGGCGATCTCGTAACGTTTTTAAGATACTCAGGCACCTTTTCCGGCATCCTCCCTGCAGGAGCCTGTTTTCCGCCTCGAAGAACGACAGCATCCAAGCGTCGCCCTCCATCGCAGACTGTTTTCCTTGGAGCGCGAGGCATTCCTTTGAGAGCAGGTCGAATCCTTCGGTTTTCACTTCGACCACGTGATTGGGATGAGGCCAGGGAATCTGGGGAACCGGCCAGTGAGCGGCCGATCGCGGCCAAAGTCCCGCGCACTTAAAAGCCGGAGTTATTTGCACCACAAAACGTTCCCGAATGCGTAATTTTACCTCCGTCGTATCGGCAATCATTTTTACCGAGTCCCTGTAGGAACACTTGTCGCAAGCCTGGGCCACCAGCGTTTGAAACCTGGAACGCATTTTTCGGGCCGACAGATATCCAGACGCGGTTATGAACTCAACCCACAAGGACATGGATCTCTTTCTGCCATCGCTCAGTTTCAGTACGGCACATCCTGGCAAAGTACCATCATCAACGAAATTAAGGACTCCCATCTGATTGAGGTAAAGGACGACTTCAAATTCATGAGGCGAGACTACTTCTAGTCCGTCGTATCGGCCATTGTAATCAGTTAACGATGATATAAATCGGGGCTCTTGTACCTCGACTTCTTTGAGGACGTCCTGTACGACCCGACACACTTCCTGGATGGTTTTACTGATCTGCAGTTTCCTTGCTTGGACTTTCTCCGTGTAGTACTTGTTGATTTGGTAGACCATCTTGGACTGTGCGGCCAACATATCCGGCGGAACGAGCATCTTCGATGCTGAGTAAACCCGGTTGGATTGGGCTAATATCGATACCTGCTTGTACTACTCGAATACGGACGGATCTTCATTCGGGGTTCGTTCTTCTTTCAGCCCGCACGACGATTTCGGCTTGACATTCGGGAAGGTCGCGTCGTTATTGATCTTTGAATCATAGCGTTTTTATTGTTATACATGGCACTGTCGAACCGCAAAAAGGAATAAACGCAAAGGTGGCGGAATTTGGGGTATAAGTAGGGTTGTGAATGTGTGCGGGAGTGAGTGAATGTAGGAAGGTGGAGTGACGGTTCAGAAGACGATGTGGAAGAAGAGGATACTTAATGATGATGATGGATCGCGAGGATACGGCGTCTGGTAGTTACTGGCGTCGCTACACGCACGCTTCGGTCGATTCGAGTCGACAGGTGAGAATACCCCACCCCTTGGAGGCTGGGCTCGTGTATTTCTGCCGCCCCTCGGAGGCACCAATCATCGATTATGTATGATTTGTTGAATACGTTACATTACAATGTGTGCGCACATTTTTATTGTTGACTGCTGTATTTCCAACATGTCGAGTACCGAGTAACAAGTACCCATTCGGTCGCACTCGACTGCCACCGAAATTTTTCATGTTAAGTCGCCTCCGCAGCTTTCCGATTATATCCGCCGTTTGTAGGGTGATTCTTCCTGAAATTGAATTTTGTGGTTTCACTGAAACTAAATCCAGGATGTATAACAATTCGGAAAATCTGTACATGTAAAAAAATTGGCATATCCTCATGGAAATTCGAAATTTTCCTCAGGAATCCTGGAAAATAAAAATATCGTTGTGGTTTCTTAATTGTTCCATGTAGATTTTCAGGCATACGTAGGTACCTAGTATACGACAATCAATCGATATTGGTATTTTTCCGAATCCTGGAAAAACCGAGAAAACTCATAAAGCCTTTTTCTTTCTTTTTTGGGGATTCTCTTTGAAACTACTAATCTAATCTCGAAATTTTTTTCACCAATATTTAGAATGGGTCCTCAGGGTGGACATTAGGCTATATATATATTTCTTTAAGAGAAAAGGGCTTTTCATAGAGACTAATTGAACTTGAAGTTGATAAGAAAACTATCGAGCAAATGTGAGTAGCAAGGTGAATATTAAAGTTTAATCATTACAACAGTATCTACTTTGATGGATTTACTATAAAATAGACCTAGATTGTTTAGAAATGTAAATTACAGGGCAACTCGCCATTAATTTAGTTAATTTAATAATAACAAAGTTTAGCCGGTGGTATAGTATCAGGCCTCTTTAAGGTAAATTTATTGTTAAGTGGTCAATTATTCTTGGCATACAGAACCAAAATGTCCTCGTATGCTGAAAATTTTCCTAAATGATTACTTAGAAAGATACTACATGGGCAATTTTCATTTTAATTATTCGGTCTTTCTTAGCAAAGCAAAGGCGTGAATATGCCGTTCTTAACGCTTAAAACGCTTAATTAAAATAGCGTTTAAAGTAGACACCAATAAACTACAGGAGAAGATACATAGATACTAACAAGTACCTACCAAGTATCTATTAGTAGATAGATATACAGTAGACAACCAAGGCCTGCTATTACGTTGTTGTGCCTATTATCTAAATGGGCTTGCTTATTAGTGTATAACTAGATAGCAGTTCGATAGAGGCTCATGTAACAAAGCCGTAAAATGTCCCTCTCTTGATGAGCTTGGAACATTTTTCAGTTATTGTATATATGTCTTCTAAAACGTTAGTTATCAGGTAAAAGTTAAACATACTTTTTAAGTCCGTTAAATGGAAAACTTTGTTTATTATATTATTAGGGAATTTTGTTTGCTTTTCATTATCGAAGAAAATTTTTAGTATTTTTCATTACATATTATAATTTTAACAATTAATAACGAAGATCTACACTCAATACAATGATGAAATACAAAAGGAATGATGATCGCGATTCCACTATCTTCAATATAAAAAATGGGAAATTGTTGGCACTGCAAACAGAAATTTCTTATTGCGCTGCTGTTCACGCTGAATTTTTTGCATTTCTACTACTATAAATTTTCACAATTTGTATGAACTTCTTAATTAGGTACTGTGGATAGATTTAGAAATGAGGAGGATTAAAATGGATAGGAGAACAGGGGTGCTATGGAAGTCTGTAAGAAATAGGTGAGGTACGTTGGTAGGACACCTTCTGAAACGTGAAGGACTAGTCGGAGACATATTAGAGACAGGAAAAGGATTTAAGAGGAGTAGAGGTAGACCTAGGGATTTGGGATGTTCTAGTTTTAGGGAAATGGAAAGATTAGATCTGGGTCGAAAAGAGTGGAGGTGCGTGTCAATAGGTCTTCCTCCTGAAGAATGGTCGAAAAATAATCCAACTTTGTGTATCGAGCAATATATATATTATACAGATTTTATTTTTGCATTATTTTTAAAATCTGGGACATTAATAAGGAAAATATAAATCATTTTAGTATTTTTAGTAATGTTCTTTAGCATAAATATTGCCAAAGTAATCGTAAAGTTGCCTTTGGAAATTAACATTCTAAAGCTAAAATAGTGATGTCTGATTGATGATTTTTTTTTATAATTCCATGTTTGGTTTTTACTTAATCTTTTAATTCAAAAGTTGGATGTACAGATGTGCCTACAATGCTGACGTTAATTAAAAGTAAAATAGGTATATTTTTAGTTTGTCTAAATCTATTGATATCAACCAATATCTTATATCTGGTTTCAGTAAATTTAATGGCATCATAGATGCTCAAAATACAGTATTTGTAATAAATAAAATTTTATCATCGAAAGGAGAACTTCTTGAGATTTCGTCCTCGCGTCTCGACAAATCGTTGAGAAAAAAAAGGTCGGAATGAAAATGCATCAAAACTGACAATGATATCAATGATGACCGCGAAAACTTGAATAAGGAAATTTTAATATTTTCCAAGAGATCGTACGGTGATGGGCTCGTTGTGAGGCGTTTCAGTAATTATTTATTTAAATCAAAAACTCAGAAAGGTATTGCATTAATTCGTGTTATTAATTACTTATTCAATACAATCACTGCTCAATACTTATTAGACGGCAACGTTATAAAATGTTGGGTTTCAACTTTATTTTTCTCATTTTACCTAGCTAAAATAATAATAATCCAAATAGATTCGGCATATATTTTATTTGACTAATGAGATACCTATACAGTTAATTTCAAATATTGCAACAATTATAAGCTTACAACTAGATAGTTAGGTATACATTTTTATATGTACAAATATCTTACAATACTTCAGTACAGTCGACAGCACGTTTTGTGCATGTTTTCGAAAGAAAGAAAATTTAGTCATAACCGAATAATCACAGAAAAACTTTTGAAATGGTAATAACTACCGAAAAAGTCGTACTAAATACTTATTATATATTACGTAGCAGTACAATTTATTGTAAGAAGATAAGTATTAGTTATCACAATTATATGGCACTCAAATACGGGCCTGTAAAGCATTAAAAATCAGTACAGAAATTGCGAGCTTTTTACTCTATCAAAGCTTTTCTGAACCCGAAGATTATAATTTTATTCACGAAAATCGTAATACTTATAAGTACTATAAATGAATAGATACTAGGAACTAACGATTTACTTCGTCATAAAGAAAAGTAACAATATAGATGATGATCTTCCGTGAACATTTTTCATAAAGTAATGATAACGTTAATGAATATTTGGATGTTACTGTTTATGATTTTTATAAAGTAAAATCAGTCGTTAGGAATGCTTTTAAACGTTTAATCCCGTCGGATCGATAGGATCATCGTTCATAGTTTTTCCAGACACCTCGTATTGGTCAGCATTTCTCGTGTTAGTCTCCACACCTGTTTGGAAGCATTTTCTAGCGCGCTCGGCGATTTTCCTTTGAACAAATCTAAGTTAGGTAGGAAATAATGCGGGCATCTTTTACATTGTAAACACGAAATCAGTTGCAAAAAGATCCCGTTGATCCTGTCACCCAAACAGGACTCATCCCACTCGCTTTCTCTAGGATGTTTTTCACATTCATACAAGAGAAGGGTTTTCAAATGGTAACTGGTTACGGGGTTACCGGGCAAGTCCAGGTGCCTATCCCGTAACGTTTTCAGGATACTGAGACACCTTCTGCGACAGCCCCCTTGTAAAAGACGATTTTCTGCCTCGTTGAACGACAGTACCCACGCGTCGCCTTCCATAGCCGATTGTTTTCCCTGAGCCGTGACACTTTCTTTCGACAACAAGTCAAAACCTTCAGTTTTTACTTCCGCTACAAGGTTAGGATGGGGCCACGGAACGTGCGGAACGGGCCAATGGGCCGCCGATCTCGGCCAAACACCGGAACACTTGAAGGCGGGAGTTATTTGCACAACATAACGTTCCCGAATTCGCAACTTAACCTCGGTCGTGTCCGATATCATCTTCACGCATTCCCGATAGGCGCACTTATCACAAGCTTGTGCTACCAACGTTTGAAACCTCGACCGGATCTTACGAGCGGAGAGGTATCCGGATGCGGTGATGAACTCGACCCATAGGGACATGGACCTCTTCCTTCCGTCGCTCAACTTCAGAACGGCGCATCCTGGTAACGTTCCGTCATCCACAAAGTTAAATACTCCCATTTGGTTTAGATAAAGAACCACCTCGAATTCAACCGGCGAGATCACTTCCAAGCCTTCATATCTCCCATTGCATTCCGTCAGTGACGATATGAATCGAGGTTCCTGCACTTCCACTTCCTTAAGGACGTCCTGGACTACCTTGCATACCTCTCGTATCGTTTTCGAAATCGTACCCATCCGGGTTTGGACCCTTTCGCCGTAGTATTTGTTGATTTGGTAAAGCATCTTAGATTGGGCTGCCAGCATATCCGGTGGGACTAACATGTTGACGAGCGCACAATCGACCGCACACTAGAACCTGGGGAACCGGTAGGGAGCCTGGATAGGAGGAGACACAAACGACGCCCCCTTTCCATTATTTTCGGGAACGGCGCCTGCGGATTGGTGTTGTTGTGGACAGTTTCAGACTTGATCGAGGCTCAGAACCGCCTCAAACGGGATTCTTTAACCACACCCACGCGCGCGATTAATGTGATCCGGCCGACAAAGAGCGAATGCACGGTGAATTTATTAAAACAGTCTTATTGTACTCGATTCTTGTCTTCAATGCTGCAAGTATTTAATTCTCTGTTTGAAATAAAGCCGTTTTCGATTTTTTTTTTTCGCCCATATAAAACCGTAATTTTAACCTGAAATAAGTAAGTACCTGATGTGCGGCTACAATGGGCGAATAAAAAGGCTCGTCGTCGGTCCGTTTAGGGCAACGCAAAAAGAACATCGAATCCCCATTGTGCAAACGTATGACCATTATGCCATTCTTATACCCATTGCGATGGATGCGTTGATACGTGGTACGCTCCAGCTGGGCGCTAACAAAAGCGAACAATGGTTTACAAACGGCGTGTACTTAAGAAGGCAGAACAGCATTGTACACACATATTCAAGGGTTTCATTTCAAACTGTACAAATATACAGGGTCTTTCTGAAATAAGTAGCAAGCTTGCTGGAGGCGATAAAGTACAACAGGAACATTCATTAAATGTTTGGTTGTCCGAAAGATCACCGTTTTTGAGCAAAATGTATAGGCGAGGGTCAGTCCGGCCCTGGTAGCTCATGAAGGAAAATACGACATTGCAACGCCTCATTGAATCTGTTGGTAATCAGCAGCATCCGTGTGGTGCTTCTTTTGGCTTTTTGTGCTCATGCAGCATTGTTTGTTAGTTGTTAGATTAGATTACGTGTAATTGACAATGGTTATGTTATAGTCATCTTGTAGTAATTTTTATTCTTTTAACGTTGTAAGCGTGTATGTAGTAGCGAGTACAAGTCTTAAGGGGAAACTGATTTTCAGCCGCGGCTATATTTGTATCATGTAGGCAAAAAAATGCTTCAAACGAGGGTCATGTTTGTATTCTTGGTACTCTGAATCTAATTCCACGGGTTCCTTTGTATGGGATTGTATGATGATCGCTGCAAATGAAATGCACCAAATGTCTTATTTTGCGTTGGTCAGAAACAATTTTGGTAGATGTCTTGAAGCCTTTTTTCTACCACGAGGTTTTCGAATAATTTTTGTAGTGCACATACGAGCATGTGTGTTTAGTGGTTTTCTCGAAACCAGGAACTCGTCGATAAGTAAAGAGTAAGTTGATGTTTATGTTTACTTCAGACGTTGGAGAAGCAGCATTCTATTCAAGTGTAGCTGCTCAGTCATTTATGTTACCAAGCTGAGGACTAGCTTCAGATTGTAACTTATTGTAGTTTTTTGTCCCTTAATCACGCTGCTATACTCACCATGAGCTTCCCTGTTGCATCTGGACAACTCCCTCGAATGTTTACCACTTATTTCAGAAAAACGATGCATTAGTACGTAAGATCCACACGTATGTGTTAAGCATGATGCAGTTTACTTAATGCTACCGGAGGTTTTCTCTACTTATTATCTAAAGGTAATGTCGGGACTGACGGATGTGGATCAATAATACGAAACACAACTGACGGCGAAAAATTTAATTTAATGCAAACTAAAACAATTTAATTAACACTAAAAAATACAATAGAAGAACACGAACAATTAAAGAATAAAACAATGAATGTAAGAGTAAAAACAAATATAATGTAAAAGCACAAACTACATGCAAACGGGAATCAAGACAGACTATGTATGGCAGCCCTTCACTGAGTAACTGATCGATGAACCACCAGGAATATTGGATAATAATAACTGTAAAATGGAAGTGTATCTATAGCTGCGGGACGAACGTTCCAGGTAAAATTCACAAATAAAATAAGTAAAAATTCATACATGAAATGGTACCGTGGAACCAGTGCAGGAGAACCTAATCTTTATCAATTGCACTGCATCTCAAGTGCTTCATGCGACTCAAAGCCCATAATAAATATCAATTCGTTTTGGGCACGGTATATCGGCATTTAATTTTTAAAAAGGACGCTCTAATACAAGGAGTATCCATACATAATGCACAAATAAAACTCTGTCGAGATGATAGTGTCTCTTTCATGCTAAATCATTAGACTGTTACACACTAATAGCCTATTATTTCTTTTCTTCTGGTAGGTATATTTTTCTTACGTTCTGACGCATCTCTCATCAAGGACTTGAAATAAAGGTACACCGACGCAAATACCTACAAAATCCTAACAATAAGTAGATATCTATTACAGATTTTGCATGTTACAAGAACATTAATAATCTTGCACCAAGACTTCGGATGTCACAACATTTTGCGTATTCTTTCGTTCCGTTCTCTAAACGTAAGTGGAATATTTGTATAAGTAACTTCTCCATTGTTCGGTCTAAGTTTTGTTTCTTTTATGTCGGCTCCTTCTTGTAACATGTAGAGAGTGTATCAGTACTTGGGCATCTTTGCTCCCTTTTTTTTGTTACCGACTGACTGACTGCATATACAATAGAAAATAGATCATCTATGTACCTCGCTTCGTTGTGCTTTGTCATCGAGAAACGGTGAAAGGAAGGCCTATTGACAGACGGATAATCCACTCTTTCAAAGACATCTTCATCCTGTTGCGTTTGTAGGTATACGTTTTCATGGGTATGTTTGTGTAGATGCTTGTTGCTGTGGACAGAGCGGTATGGCCTTAGAGGTGTATTAGACCATTGCTTAGCATTCGGAAGGACGTCGGTTCGATTCCGGGTCCGTCTGCCTTAGTCCAAGTTTTTCTGTGGTTTCCTTGGATTATTTATGCAAATGCTGGAGCAGATAATTTTTCATTCTCTTCTGCCTTCATTTCGTCCGTCTCGACTTTCTCACCCGAACCACCACCCACCCATTCCTACGATTCCTGAATGGATGCTGAAGAGGGTCTTCCGCCTAATATTCCGGCGTAGTCCGGAAGGACTATCCGCCACCAGCATAACTGGCTGGTGGGAACGAAACTCTCAAAAGTTTTTTTTTTTTTGGAAAAGAAAAAGGTGTATATTCATCCCCCGCGGACAAGAAATCGCAGGAAAAGCAATTTCCTCGTTAAAATACTTTTCTTGGAATGAAAGTAAAGTATTACTCCCTTTTGAAACCCCGTATGGTAGCGAATACCATATATTTACTATTTTCAACCATATGATCTGAAAATATATCGTTCTTCTTTGAAAACTATCCTAAACTAACCAAACCCTTAAAACAAAGCGTGTCACCACTAAAAGCTTTAGGTTGGCATTTATTGAACGGACGTCGTGTTAATTTTTTAATTATGTAGGTTTAAAAAGGTGGCTGAAGGTTTCATGTATGACGTAGATTTCAGAAAACGATGCCACCCTTTGATGATTGCATCTAATCTCGAAATATTTATATAGTGTATTCGTAGATAGAGAGGAGGCATATACTTTTTTGAATTTTTGACTCTGTCTGTTTCGCGAAGGTGTAGACACTCCCTAACGCCAAATAAATCGTTCGGGAGTGAAGGATTAGGCCTTCGTCTGAATCAAGGGAGTAATCGTATTTAAAAACAGCAAGATCGTTGCTAGAATATAAAGATAGGAGACGAAAAATTAGCTGATTTTCGGTATCTAGGAAGTAGGATAACTCAGGATGGAAGGAGCAGTAAATATATAAAACAAAGCTGTGTCATATAATTGATAAGCATTTTATGAAGTACGAACGTGGAAAAATTGCTCCTGTCAACTCAGAAACATTAACGACTGTCGGATGCCACCAAAATAGACCGAAAACTTGTGTTCGCTCGTTAGCCAACGACACACACCACCTATGTGGTTACTATTTTATTAGTCGTGTGCATCCTACGTAGGTACAGTATATGTACAAAGGTATTATTTTAAAGGAAACGAACGGGACGGGTGGATGTCTCATCAATAAGCTAAAGTAACTGACATTTACAAACTATAGTCAGACTTGCTAACTCAAACTTCCTAAATGCAGCCAATTATGTTCGAATTAGTTAGAGAAAATTCGAATTAAGGAATAAATTTTCCGCTTTCCTTTTTAATTTTTGTTTCGAAAATATCGTTTCTATGTATATATTAGTACGTAACTATTGTTAAGTCCATCGCTAATAATCCTTAAAATCTCAGATTTTTTGTTTTTCAAGATTTATACCTATTAATAACATAAAATAGTTATTTAGTTACAATTACAATAAACCCGGAGCAATATTTCTTTCCTACTATCGGATATAGATAAAAAAGAAAAGAATATTTCATGTAGGGGTACAAATTAGAATAAATAGAAACAATTTTGTTGTTGCCTTTGACTTATTTTCATTTGCTGACTATGAGATTCAAACATAAATTCAAATTTAAATGTTCCCTATTTATCGCTTATTTTTTTTCTTTACTTTTAATAAAACATTTTCATCATAAAACATAAAGCTAAGAGGAGCTAATTTACGATAGACATACGTTTCAGTTCATGTAAGTAGGTGTACGTCTTTAAATAATAGTCACCGTTGAAATGTGAACATCGTCGCCGTCTCGCGTCTTTGACAGCGTCGCGGCGACGTTTCGTGGTAATGTTTTGTCGTCGTCGTTATTACAAACGTCGAGTAAACAAGTTGGGTGTCATTTAACAAATTTATCATCCAAATGAAATTTCGACGGTTCTATCTATTCTAAAAAATATCAAATCAATGTGATTCTAGTGATTATAATGTAAGTACTGCTTGAGAGTATGGCGGGCACCTGATGGTTACCATATAACAAATTCAAAAAAATCAAGAAGTAACACAGGGTCGAGTCATTTTCAATCGAACAATTTAAAAATGAGAAAGTATTAGAACGAATAAGAGAGCAGAAGTCAATAGGAACCTTTTCAAGCATGAAGGGCTAGTACGACATATTGGAAGCAGAAACAGGAGTTAAGGGGAGTAGAAGTAGACATAGATTAAATTATTGTTCACAAATAGATACGGATGTGGAATGCTCTAGTTATTTTAGTTAAGATTATCTCAGATTAAGAAGAAGTGTTGTGAATCTCAAGTAACAAACTACACATCTTGAAATATTATAAAAAATGCTTAACAGGTCGCATCCAGAGGTGTATATTTTTCCATCAAAAC